ATCGAGTTGTGACTATTAAATCTAGAATCGACCCCCATCGACCGGCCAACAGAGGAGCAGAGGGCAAGTGATCCATCATTGCCACCGCATGCGTGCCGAGATGTCATCCAAATCAGCCGACACATCGACCTGACCACCACATAGGTCGGGTCATCAGTGGCGCCAATGTTATGGGTTAACTCAGAACTGACCAAAGAGGCCTGAGAAATGCATCAACCAAGATCAATCCGAGCCCTGTAAAATAAGTAAGACGCCTCAGTGGTTGGCTGGTTAAGCCAGGACCAATGCGTGAGCACAACACAAATATAGGTGCACATCCCATCATCAAACAAATCCATTTATTCCATTACAAAGATATTACAAACATATCTAGGGACATTGGTATAAATTCTAAAAGTTTCAAGCATTAGAGTTATTTCCTGTCCCGCATGCATTAACTTGCTTCAAATCTAAATAGACTAGAGCTTTCATACGTAGTATTTGAGTATTACTGAGAATTGCATAAAAATATTTGTACTTGTACCAAATAACAACAAAAACATATCACAAACATTACATTACATCCACGACTGACAAGTCTTAGATCATTTGTCTAGTATAGATCAAAAGAGATAATGAGTCTAGCTTGGAAGACGGATGGAACTGGCATGCAAATAAATAAAAGATATAAACAGTACAATCACAAGACATGTGTACCAGAACTTTCCAACGATAACTGACATATTTTGCACAAAGCTTGTGATAGTAGAGCTTCCAAATATGAGCAGTAACCGACCCTGCTGGACAAGTTGAAGACAAGATATCGTTGATGGGACAAACAGATCCGTTCATTGAAATATCACTACCGATCTTACTAATAAAGTAGCCTCAAAAGGATAAAGATAAAAGATTGATAGAAAAGATCAGTAAATTATTGAAGTATACAATTTTAGAAATAGTTAAAGAAAACTTGCAATAATTGAGACTCACTGTAAACAACTGTTATTTTGTTGTTTCGATAAACATTTGGACGGAAAAAATTTAGCAGTAAAAGACAAGTATTCTGCAAGCCTGAACTGTACAATTACGTAGAGAAGAGGAAGAACAAAAAGAAGAAGACGGCGTGAGCTGCCTCAGATTGCTGTCTTTAAGATTTTACCTTCTGAATTCAGCTCTACCGCATTCAATTCAAGATTTCAAGCTTATGCTAAAAAGTGATACCGAGAGTAATACAAAATCTGGAAAATCCTGCATAAAAGCTAAAAGATCAACAATTAAGAAAGTAACTTCAATAATCATATCTTTACCAGTGTTCGTAGTTGAACAAATTTGAAGCCTGATACATTCCGATCGATATCAAATGATTTCCTTCGGATGCCGTCCGGATTTAATTGTTCACAATGTAGCAACAATATCTAATCGCGATTCATTTTTTCGTCTTCTCAGCAACAAAATAAAGATCCATCGTACGCAATGAGACGGGAAAAGTCTCAAATGTCAAAACGAGAATGGTCGCACCTTGAGAATTGCCCTGCCATTTCCCCCAAAACCCGACGAGACTAAGCCCACCTGTAATCGCTGTTAATGGACTGGATAATGGGCTTAGGGTTTCAACAAAATTGATTCGTGAGCCCAAGGCCCATTAAACGAAACAAAACATTTCCAAAACAAGGAAAGCATTTTGGCTTTCAGCTGGCTACTCTCTCTCTCTCTCTCTCTCTCTCTCTCTCTCCGTAGCTCTGAATATGTGAAATCAAAAAGGTTTTACATCAGAGGAAGAAGTAGAAGAAGAAGATGAGAGGTAGAAGAGAGAAAGAGGGAAGCGAGAGATGCATACAAGAAAACCAAAAGGTTTTTACATTCAAAAGTTATCAAGAAGCTGCGCCCTCTATCAGTTTGTGCAATCTCCTGCTTCTCAGCCTCTCAGCAAAACCTTCCCTCCCTTGCCCTTCGCACCTGCTCTCACCAATAAACTAACACAGATTCAGTTTCCAATGTTATTGCTCTGTTTGTTGTTTAAAAACCCCAAATTCTTTTACCTCGGTGGAATGGATATCAATGGCCTCAATGTATTCGCAAGTTTAACAGTTTCATCCTCACTATTCACTATCTGATCGAAGCAGAAGTACCGACCACCCGTCGAGGAATCTTCCATTGCTCGGATATGGACATCCACCAAAAACTTCACATCCACCACTGCCAGAACCCCATTTTCATACATTTCAGCGGCTCCTGTTGTCTCATAATTTTCAGCTAAGCAAAACAAGACAAGTACTCCCACAAATGTGGAACAGTCTTTAAAGAAGTTTCTCCTCCTACCTTTAAGATATGAGATTGTTGACACTGAATTTTCTTCTGCAACAGCGGGTCCAAGAACAAGTCCTGCGTTAATGGACACCATGTTCAGCCTACGGTCCATTGCTAGAGCCCAGGCTGCTTGTTCAGAGAGTGTCTTTGCTAGAGGATACCACAACTGGGAGAACGTAACAGAGCTTGATTTGTAATCAAATTCATTGACAAGAAAAATGAATGATAAGGGCTTCGTTGATTAACATAGCCCAATGAAGAAATCCAAAATTACCAACTCAAAAAGATAACAGAGGTTTTGAAATTCCTTCCAACCTTCATTTTTCTGCAAAATTCTTTATCACTCCAACACCTTTCATCCACATCCTTCTCAGAAAGAATATTCTCTCTCCATACGGCAGCAGTCAAGGAGGAGGTGAAGACTATCTTCTCAACAGTATCTGTCCGAGCACAGGCCTCCACAACATTAATTGTCCCTCTCACCTCCAAATCCACCATTTTTTCCTTCACAAAACACAAAAGCAACAATAACCCACAAATTCCCGAGAAAGAAAATGACAACTTTAAGCATCATCAGCCTTTTTTTGCCTCTGTGGACTTACATCATACACATGGGGGGTGTCCATACAGCAAAACAGACCAGAGCACCCTTTCAAAGCAACAAGAATGCTCTGGTAATCCATAATATCCACAGGTAACACCACCAGCCCATTCTCCACTTTACCCATCTCTCTAATAGTCTTCTCAATCTCTGGATTTCCTGCTCGATCAAACCGATAATTTCACCCAGAAGCAGAGCATTAGAAAGCCTTCGTGAAGAAAAAGAATTGCAAAAGAACAGAGAAGAATAAATGACTTACCCGTTTTCTGAACGGCTGCATGAACTGGGTATCCTCTGTTTATCAATCCTTTGGTGACCCATAAGCCAACATAAGAGGAAGCGTCGAGAACACAAAGAGTTGGCCTTCTGTGATCCATTTTTAGGGTTCTCCTCTGTTTGTGTGTTGGGGGCTGATTTTATAGAGACGGAGATAGGTGAAACGGGCAAATGTTCGGTGAACTACTTTCTGCAAGTCTCTCGCACGAGATGACAATGAAAACGGGGGAAAATGCAAGAAATGCAATTTGTGGCTTGCTGAAACAAGCTTTTCAAAAGGGGGTAAGCTTGGTACCCCCGAATAGGAAGGTACAATCTTGGATATTTATGTTTTATGGTGGAAAATGGGTTTTAAGTTGATCATTTCCTGATGAAGACGGTGTTCAAGAAGTAATATGAAGGCATGAAACTTTCCCTGTTGGTGCAAACAATTAGTCCTTTGTTCATGAATGAGAAAAAGGCGGAAGAAATTATGAATATAAGAAAAATGGCCAAATGTAGAAACCCCACGCGTGGAATGAAGCTGGTATAGGAATCGTGTTTAGGGAAGATACAAACAAAGATGGTACCCTAAGTTCTGGGCTTGCAGGCTTCCATCCATCCAACAACATGCCTTTCTTTTTCTCCTTAAATATAGAAGCTTAACTACTTAAACATGCGCCAATTACGAGCATATAGGATTAATGATGAATTTTCAAAGTAGGGATGGATATGGAGAAGGAAATTTGGGGTAGATGTCACCGCCACTATAAAAATCACAGAAGAAAGAAAAGAAATCGATAAAGTTCAGTAGTTGCAGATCCACTGTAGCTATACACACTGCATTAAAGTTGTATTGAGCATGTTTTTTCCGAGGTAGCCTTTCCAGCTATGGGTGAAAAGACCTTAGTGGCCCAGCATGAAGGCATATGTCTGCAATTATGTTTAAGTTGATATTTGAAACCGAAGTTTTGTTTTGGTTCAATAATGGAGATCAATTTAGTGGCTATCTCCAACACTTGAGAATAGATATCAATGTAAACCAGTACACAGAATCGCAAAGAAATCAATCTTGCCTCCCTCCAAAAGGCAATGTACAAAGGCAATAATACGTCGGCAGCAACATGAATAATATCCCCAAGGCATGTATACGGAATCTCTCTTAGAAGGGTCAACAACTTTGTATCAATACCGACCTTACGACGACCCCAAAGTAGTGCTCATCAGGCTCAATGAAACCAAAAGAAACCCAGCTCAAGAGGCAGCAACCCTTGAGTTTATCATACCAAAGGCCTCTAATGGGAAAAGTGGGCATGCAAGATTCAGGGTATGTGAGCTGAAAGAACCGAATGAACTGTAAGCAATGAAATGGAAATCCACACAGACAAACCCCATTAACCAAATGCTAAAACCTCTGCTGCTGCTAAACCCAAAAGAACAGATAATTCTCAAACGAAATGGCTAAAGATTAAGGGAGAAGTGTATGATAGTTGAAAGAAAGAACACATACCCTGTGGAGCTTCCTTCAGAACGAAAGTTGGTTGAATGAAACAGTGACGTACGAAACACGCGACAAGAGGCCATGGGGGTCGATTGGCCACAGCCCTGCAGAAGAAATCCAAAGATCCGAAACTTATAGTCATTCATGTTTAGATGTTGTTGTTATGGTTGTTTGTTTCAAATTTCTTTTTAAAGACTAAGCTAAAAAAGATAGAATCACCCAGTAGGAAGCTTAAGCATAAACAATTTCATTCATAGTTATTGTGCTCCTGGTTTTGAAAACAATATAATGAAATGAGGATGAAGAAGATGAAGATGAAGATGAAGAAGATGAAGATGAAGATGAAGAAGATGAAGATGAAGATGAAGATGGCTTCTCTCTTTTGATCACACGTCCAGAACCTAAATGCATTCGAACTTCGCTTTACACACAATGTTTACCATACAACATATAAGACATCCCCTCCATTTCACTTCCTCTCTTTCCCCCGCCTTATCATTCAAAACGACGTCCCTTAATTTGCCGTTCTCCCCTGATCGTACCCATAGTAAGACAAATACCATCGAACGAACTTCTTCAGCCCGGATTGTAAATCGGTTCTTGGTTTATACCCGAACTCCACCTGGGCCGAACTTATATTCGCGTGGGTGAACGGAACGTCGCCATTTCCAGGCATGTCCACTATCTTCTTCTTCGCCTTCGTCTTCAAATGCTCTTCCAGAATGCTCACAAGCGCCGGCACCGTCACTGGCGACGTATTCCCCAAATTGAAGATCCGATACGGCGCCTGTCCCCTCTTTTTCCCGCCCGATCCGGTGCTTTTACCAGATGTGTCGAGCGAACCCAAACACCCCTTCACAATATCGTCAATGTAGGTAAAATCCCTGGCCAAATCCTCCTTATTCTTCCCACGGTAAACCGTAATCGGTTTCCCCTGAAGAATATTCCTTGTAAACATAAAATACGCCATGTCGGGTCTACCCCATGGACCGTACACGGTGAAGAATCTCAACCCGGTGATGGACAAGCCGTAGATATGATTGTAAGTGTGGGTAATTTCCTCACCGGCTTTTTTCGTTGCCGCGTAGAGACTCGCTGGTTGGTCGGTCCGGTCCAATTCGGAGAACGGGACCTTCTCGTTCAGGCCGTAGACCGAGCTGGAAGAAGCCCAAACAATGGCCGGTTGGGGATCTGCGGATTTACAAGCTTCGAGAAGCGTGACCAGGCCTGCAATGTTACTGTGCACATAGGAATGCGGATTCTCCATTGCGTATCTGACGCCAGCTTGGGCCGCTAAATGCATCACGTGCGTGAAAGCAACAATGTCGAAAAGCTTATCGAGCAAACGCGCGTCGTTAACATCCCCCTCAACGACGAACACACCGTGACGATTAACAAGCGCCTTGCGAGCCTTTTTGAGCGAAGGGTCGTAGTAATTATTAAAATTGTCAAGCCCAACCACGCCGTCTCCACGTCGTTTGAGCGCTAAAGAAACGTGGGTGCCGACGAAACCGGAAGCTCCAGTGACGAGTACAGACATACCGGCGGCGCGGTGGATCTCAGCGGAGGTGCGGACTTGTTTCTCCCATTGGCGACCGCCCCATGAGGTGGAGATATGGCGGGTACCGGAATGGACGAAGCTCTGGAAGCTGAGGTAGGAGACGGTGAGAGCGATTAGGAAAAGAGCCCACAAGAACATGGTGCTGGTGGAAGCGAAAAAGCGGTAGAACTGGCGGTTGATTCCGTAGCTTCTCTGTTCGATTTTGAATTTACCAGGGGTGGAGGGAAACAGCTCCTCATCCAATGTCGGCATTTTTTTTTTTCTTTAAAAAAGATTCTGTTTGGGCAATCCAATAGAAAAAGGATGAAATGGGAATGGCAGAGGGAGAGAGAAAGGATGGAAAAATAAAGGGAAAGGGGGGAAACGGTGGGACTGCTAATTAAGGGAGGGTGTAAGAAAGGGTTATTTATAGCGGTTGGACCATATGGAGCATTCCGCGTGAACGCCTTAACACCCTTCGCGATTAGACATTTAAAATTCGTTCTTTCTTTTTTTAATCCATTAGGAATGGAGATTGAAGCGTTACCATTGGATAGAGAGTTATAGAAATTAGAATGGAATTTAGGGGTAATAAGATTATTGAAAAGGGGAATTTACATGTGGAAGACAGGGATTGATTTAACAAATAAAATCAAGTTCTACGCAAAATTGTGAGAAGAAGGTGATGATACTAAACGAAACTCAAAAACTGGGAAGTAATGGAGGTGGTGGTGGTGGTGGTAGTGGTAGCCGTCGCTGTTGTGAGGCTAAGTCCGAAACTGTTGGAAGACAGAGGAGAGGAACAAAATGAGATGAGAGATGAAGAGTAAGAGCGAAGAAACGATGAGAAAAACGCCCAGCTTCCACCACTTGGCCTGAAGAGTTCCCAGGAAGCCTCTTTTGCAGGACACGCAGTTGTAGCACAAGTTCCCTCTGTCATTGTCCCATAAATCACAGTCGCTGTCGTATGGGTTTGACGGCCTTGCTTCTCTTTCCCTTCTTCTCCAGAACGTTGCGTTTACGTACTCCATTTTGCAGATCGTTGCCGGCGTGCAGCACCCAGACTAACACACACACACACACATTGTTAGCTACATACTTGTGTTTATATCTGGAAAGGGCAGGAAGGAAAATTTACCTCAATGGAGGACAACTTGTGGAGACTAAAATCATAAGACTTAAGCATCAAGGTTCGTGACACCAAATCATCACAAGCCCCTGTATCATAAATACAAGACTTGATATCCTCCCAATGCGCGTTGTCAAACACCTTCAATCTCAGCCACTTAGGGGACGCGGCCACGGACCGAGTCTCCATCGTATACGCACCCACAAGCGCCAGCCCAATTATGAATATCAGCATCAACGGCAGCATTACAACCAAAAGCCCCAAAACAGGGAACCGAGGCCTCAACAAAACCACGCCATTACTTATCAAAAACAAGACTATGAGCCCAATGCCAATCCCCAGCTGGAAACTGGGCAGCTTCAGAATGGTCTCGCAATCCGAGTCTCTGACGTAAAATATCCACACAATAAACCCCAAAACCGGGATCGAAAGTAACAGCGTCATTGTAGCCAACAGCTTGTCCAAATTGTTAATTTGAAGAAATGGGTTGGTCTTCTTGGGCGGAACATCGCCGGCTTCTTTGTCTTTGGTGGGCTTGGTCTCTTCTACCGGCACTACTGGGGCAGCTTCTTCTGCAACAACGATTGCATTGTTGTTGTCGTTCTCTGCCATTTGGTGAGTGAGTGATTTAGAGAGAATGGAAATGATGTAGATAATTACAGAAGAAAGATGGTGTTTTATATATGTTGATGTGATTGATGTATGGTAAGTTTCCGGTTGTGTTATAACAAACAAGTCAAAGAGCGGACACGTCTGAGTAATAAATTTGAAGGTTTTGAGGAGAAAAATAAGGGTGGGTTAGTTAGAGAGGATGAGAAATAGTAGGAGCAAGGTTTGAAAGCATTTAATGATTACATAAATCTTATTCCTCGAGACATTGTCTCAAATTTTGACCAGCTCTGGTTTCCATAAATTTGGGATCTGTGGTAGCCTTAAATGTAAATAGGTGGTGGGCTATAACACAAGCAAGCAAAGCCCAAGTCCCAAGTCCCAAGTCCCAAGTCCCAAGTCCCAAGTCCCAGGACAGATGGTGAATGGGCTAGGCCGAGTACTAGTTCCATGAAGTTTTGATTAAGACTTGTATTTATTGGTTTTGAGAAAAGGATAGTGGTTGATATTTTCAAATAGTGCAGCAAAGACTGCAACTCCCCCAAGAAATTTGATTGTCATTTCATTCACGGGTCGTCTAAATCTGTCATTTTGTGGAATTGGAGATGGTCGCTTTGTGGATTTGTAGCCACACAAAGTCCGTTGAGGCATCTCCTTTTGTTTCACATGATTCCATTTCAAACCCCTCTGCCTCTGCTTTCTTATCTCAAAAACTGTTCCTTTACTTTTCAAAAATATCTACTTCAACCTTTCCTTCCAATCATGTTCCTGGCTCCTTTCTTTTAAGGTTGTAACCCTTTTTTTTTGAAGTATTATACCCAACTTTTAAATGTCCATACTAATTTACTTTGCCAGTTGAGACAGTTGGATATTTTAAAGTGTTCTGTCATTTTAATTGGTCTCTGTCTCCTAGCATGTGATTCTTCTGTGTAATATTTATATAGTTTCAAATATGTAACTAACTTTTCAAATGAAGTAAAAATAAATTAAAAACTAATTAAAATTGAAGAAAATGAACTTAGATATATGAGTTGTAAAAGTGAGTTGCTTTTATATCCAAAATGTAACTAAAGACATAAAATTTTAGGACATACATACAACCGTTTTGAAGATAGACATGACATTTTTGGTGTATAATTTGTTTCAAAATTCTACTTTATCCAAAAATCAATAACTAGTCTAAAAAGAAATCCCAAAGAATATATTTTATTCTCCTACATTTTTCTTTTAATTCTATACTTTTAAAAACGGAACGATTGGGATTTGGTGTATGAATGTAGTAAGATCCTGATGTTAGAATTTAGATTAGAAAGTTTGATAATAAAAGTAAGCGAATTTAGAGAGTTCATCCTTTAAATGTGTGAATGAATGACCCAAAACAAATAGAATTTGAAAAGCGAAAAGTTTTCGGTTTGGGAATTGGATTTGGAAATGGAGAACCGGGTGAGGAGCAGGCTGCCTAGAACCTACATCGGAAGATCCCCTGTTTTAATCAAATTTGTAATTACAGCCGTCGCTTTTGAACTTTCAACCTGACATCACCACCGTCAACGTTTCGTCCCCTAAACGCGCCTTCTCAAAACGCTATAAAACCAAACCACACCCATTCCCAAACACAAACACGCATCCTTTTACTTCCCATCCCCTCCTTTCCTCTCTGTTTTACTGAATCATTTGGGCGTTGGTTCGCAACCATGGTGCGGTTTAGCAATAATCTGGTTGGGATTCTCAATTTCATAGTCTTTTTGCTTTCTATTCCAATCATCGCTGGTGGGATATGGCTCAGCCGACAGGGGACCTCCGACTGTGAGAAATTTCTCGACACGCCGGTTATCGTCATCGGAGTCTTCCTTCTATTGGTCTCTCTCGCGGGTTTCATCGGCGCCTGCTGCCGTGTCACATGGCTTCTCTGGATCTATCTATTTGTCATGTTCATCCTCATCGTCCTTCTCTTCGTCTTCACCATCTTTGCCTTCGCCGTCACCAACAAAGGCGCCGGCCAAGTCCTGTCCAACAGAGGCTACAGGGAGTACAGGCTGGGCGATTACTCCAACTGGCTGCAGAATCGCGTCAACAACAACAAAAACTGGAACAAAATCAGGAGCTGCTTGGTGGACGGCAAGGTTTGTACCGAATTCAACGTTAAATTCGCCCGTGATACCGTCGATCAGTTATACCAAGAGCACTTATCGTCGATTCAGGTAAATTTCGATTTGGATTTCAGATGTAATGGAAAACCCCCTTCCCACCCCCAAATTTAGAATTGATGGTAAGAGTAACTAAAATTTGTTTGGTTGATTATGTGCAGTCTGGTTGTTGCAAGCCGGCAGATGAGTGCAATTTCGTGTTCGTGAGGCCAACAGAGTGGACAGTGGGCAGTAGCAATTCTACGAATCCAGATTGTGGGCTATGGAATAACGATCCTAAGACGCTGTGCTTCAACTGTTCGTCCTGCAAGGCTGGGGTATTGGACAATTTGAAGAGGAACTGGAAGAAAGTGGCGATTATTAATATTGTTGTGCTGGTGTTTCTCATCATCGTTTACTCCATTGGATGTTGCGCCTTCAGGAACAACAAGGAGGAGAATCATTATCCCAGATGGAAATGAAGTCGTTAGTTGATTTTGTATGTCTGTCTTGGCTTTTGCTTTTGCTTCTTTTGCTTTTGCTTTTGCTTTTTTGCCTTGCTTCAGCGGTGTAGGCGTATATTAACTGCTATTATTTAGCTCCTTTATCACTATTATTGCCCAGTATTTATTTGCTGTGATATATGAATAAAAATCTACATTCGTGAATTTCGATTCTTTTAATGAATTAAAAATTGGTTTTGATTACTGATATTTTGTGTTCAATATGGTTGAGAAGTTGATCGCGTAGTGGCGTGCTTGAAACTATTCTCACATTGTTTAATTTCACTTTTTGACAATTTTATTTTTAATTAATGGACTTTCTGTTCAACAAGTATGACTATTTATTTATTTTTAATTAATAGACTTTCTCTGTTCAACAATTAGGACAATATGGGGGACGTGAGTGGATAAGTGTCAAGAGCTTATAGGGTCCGCGTTGTTGTTGCACAATTATTTCTTGTTTCCCTCTGTCATTGTCTGAATTTAATAATTTATAGCAAAAATGTGGTTGTCGATGTTTTTGTGTTCAGGATTGAGATGCCCAAGCGCCGCCTTCGGACTTCCATTCCCTCTCCTATTTCAATATTTTACGATTAATCCTTTTTTTGTATACATCCACACACAAAAAAGTATATATATTTTTTTTAATTTGTTTTTAATGAAAAATAAATAAATAAATAAATTCAACAATAATTATTATAAATAACAAAAAAATAGAATATAATATTGTAAGAAGAACTGGTGCGTGGCGTACGAAACACTTGTGTTGTCCACGTGTCTATAGGTGAAGAAATTTGTTGCATGATTTTACACCACCATGGCTCTTCCAATATTCCACTTGTCGTTTGGACAATGACTTCAAACTCATCCATTTCATCTGTTACGGAAATAGTTCGCTCAGGAACAAAAATCAAAACTATGATCCATTAATCCATTGAATGAGGTGTGGTGTGGTGTTTTCTCTTCCTTCTGCCACATCCATAACTCTTCCCCCATCTATTTTGTTTTTGCCTTCTCTACCAAACTTTCCTAAGGAATGTGACCGCCTAAATTCACTCCCAGACAAAAATGTCTAGCCTTAGGCGAATCTCGAAAGAAAAAGTCCAAAAAGTGGTAACATGCAAACCTGCTTTGGTAACAAAATGAATATATATAAACTTGGGCTCAAACTGAACTGGTCTCAAAGTGACCGAAGATTGGATATGGCCCAGCCCAAATTATCAAACTAACTACTTATGATTTCCCTTTTAAAAAAAAAAAAAATAAATAAATAAGAAATAGCATATTTTAATACTTTGTATCTTGGGGTGGTTGTTGAATTTTAATTTAATTATTATTTAACTAATTTTAATCGAAATTAATAAAATACAACGAAATATGCTTATACAATTGAAATATTAAATCCACATTAATATTATTTAATATGCTTCCTCCCTATATTATTGACACGGTGTACCAAACATGACCGCCAAAACTAAAGGTGGGCCCTATAGTCATGGATCCTACCCGTATTATATTTAAGAAAAAAATAAGGTTTTGCAGTATAATATATTTAAAGAGATAATAAATGATTTAAAATTTGATAATAAAAAATAAAAAGGGCAGAAAGGGTAGACGGTAGGTGTCACGTCGGAGACACGTAGGAAGGAGTTGGATTGGAGTTGCCCATGTGTATCATGTTCCAAGCCACTGACATGTCAGAACCTCCATTTCATCAACACCTACACATACTTCCAAAACCCAATCCAACCTTGTGATCGACAAGACCATATGTGGAGAAAATTAAACGCGTAATGCCAACTCAGACAGCACAGAATATTCTGGAATCTATTTCTTAAATTCAAAAAACAAAGAACCACATGAATTGATCACATTTGATCACATTTGATCGTGTAATCTGATTCACCAAACAGCAGGGGCTGTTCTAGATCGTTCTTGCACTCATTCTTTTCAATCTTATCTTCTATATCTATTCCTCCTTCAATGCCTTCAACGTCTTTAGCCTTCCCCCATAATACGATGTATAATCCAATTATAACAGCGATAGCACCCATTACGCTGCACCCACAATTTAAATTCACCAAAGATTAAAGGTTTGATCAAATGGGGAGTATTAAAAGTTGTGCAGTTTTTGTTCTTACCTCCCACTGTACAGCTCTTCGTGCAGAAACAGAGAGGAAATGAAGGTGGTTATGACTGTGCACAGAGGATTGAATAATGCTGTGAAAAGAGGGCCTCTTCGAGACACACACCATGCTTGAACCAAAAAGGACAAGGCCGAGGAGATTCCCTAATGAACAATCAAATTTGGGGTTTGGGGTTTAAATTAAAGGGGAATTTTCGAGATTTGAGATTCAATGTGTTTTGTTACACTTACGGCGTATAAACAAGAGCCCAATTCCAATGGAGAAGGAAGGTTCCAGACTTTTGAGCTGTCGTCAACCAGTAGTGTAAAGATGGCTGCTTGGAACATGGCGAAGAACAACATCCATGTGGAAGAAATTATA